TTTTTTTTTTTTTTTTTTTTTTTTTTTTTTTTTTTGTCAGGTCTTTGTTATTTAGGCCACAGGCTTGGCTGTCCTCATACTGCTGTGTAGCCTGAGCTGGCCTCTAGCTTTCAGGAGTCTTCCTGCCTCAGCCTCCCAGGTACTGTTACTACAGGCCTGTGTCATAACGTCTGCATCACTGGGTGATTTTATTCAGACAGACTGGTGGACAACTTGTTGTAATGAGGAGAGGCTGTGAGAAGGGGGTACTCTGGAGAGTCTGGGGTCTGTGCAACAACCTTGATGTGGAGGAGTTGATAATGGGGTGTAGATCTACAAATAAACATGTAATTTATCTCCAATACCTGTTTTTACTGCCAGTCTGGAGGTGCTGACATGGTAGCCATTATGATCTCTGTCATGTGTAAAAGCCAGAAAAATAGCTGAGGGAAAATGCTGAGGAAAGCTAAAGAAGTTGAGTTCCGTGTGACAGGAACACGCCGTTGTCCCTAGTGAGTACTTCACCGCTTTCTGGTGGATACAGCCATTCTGAGGCTGTGGATTGGCTGGCTTTTCTAAGTGCAAAGTGAACCCTGGCTCAGCCCAGTAGGGCCCTGAAATGTCAGCCTGAAAAATGGGACCCCCCCTAAGACTGGAGAGAATTGTATTTCAGGAGCGGGGGTGCATCTTTGTTGTGTCAGAACTGGTGGCCGTGCTTTCTTGGGGGTTTGCAGCTTTGGATAGAAGTTGCTCACTAGATGCCATTAAAGAAGCCCGATTCCAGGGGAGCAGGAAGGTCTTTGACAAGAGCATGAGGAATTCCAAAGGAGCAGAGCTAAACTAAGAGCCAGTGAAGTTTTATACAAGCCACCAGGAGAAGGGGTGCTGGGGAGGATGTTTTAGCTGCTACAGCAGTCTGTCCTGTTCCCGTAAGGCAAGCTGTGAATCTCTCTAGGAAGGAGTAAAGATGTCAGAGACTAGTTACCCAGGTACAAAATAAGTAAATATCTAGGTGGTGGAGGAACACACCTTTAGTTCCAGCACTAAGAAGCAGAGGCAGGTGGATCTCTGTGAGTTCAAGGCCACACTGGTCTACAAAGTGAGTTCCAGGACAGTCAGGCAGCCAGGGCCACACAGTGTGAGCCCTGTCTTGAAAACCAAATAAATAAATAAATAAATAAATAAATAAATAAATAAATAGCTCTGGTACACACCTTTAATCCTAGCACTCGGGGAGGTAGAGCAGGTGCAGTTCTGCAGATTGAAGTTTCTGTTCTGCCTGGTCCCGCAGCTGTTCCGTTTCAAACACATAGAGGTTTATATTAATTATAAACTGTCTGGCCTATTAGCTCAGGATTATTATTAACTAACTAACTAACTCTCTCTCTCTCTTTTTTTTTTTTTTTTTTTTTTGGTTTTTCAAGACAGGGTTTTTCTGTAGCTTTGGAGCCTTTCCTAGAACTAGCTCTTGTAGACTAGGCTGGTTTTGAACTCACAGAGATCCACCTGCCTCTGCCTCCTGAGTGCTGTGATTAAAGGCATGCACCACCACCGCCCAGCCCTTATTAACTAACTCTTACAACTTAAATTAATCCATAATCCTATCTATATTTAGCCACATGGCTTGGTACCTCTTCTCAGTACAGCATTTTCTTCTTCTTTCCTCTCTGTCTGGGTGGTGACTGCAGACAGAGCCTTTCTTCTTCCCAGAATTCTAGTCTGGTCACCCCACCTATACTTCCTGCCTGGCTACTGGCCAATCAGTGTTTTATTAAAACCAATACAAGTGACAAGTCTTTACAGGGTACAAGAGCATTATCCCGCAGCAGAGTTCTAACTTGGTCTACAGAGCACATCCCAAGGATGACAGCCAGGCCTAACACAGAGAAACTCTGACCCAAAAAACCAAATTAAATCAAATAAAAAGAAAACCAAAAAGAAATAAGGAAAGGATAGCATGTATAATTCTAGCTCATTTTAATGATGCATTCTATTTTAGAGACAAACAATGAAAAGTGACAGGTAAAACTTAGAAAGTTAGAACCCCAAAATTTAAGAACAATTAAAGAAGTATCTACAAGTATACTTAGTGGTAAAGTACTTGCTGAGTTTGAATTCTGTCTTGTGGATGAGAAGTAGATTGCTTTCCGTTTCAGAACAACCAGCATGCTGGGGTGCTAGGATGCCAGGCCAGGATATAGTGTGGGGCAATTAGAATTGTTTGTGTGTGTGTGTGGTTTTTGAGATAAGATTTTTCTGTAATAGTTCTGGCTGTCCTGGCTTCTGCTTTGTAGACCAGGCTGGATACAGCTCACAGAGAAGCCTCTGCCTCCCAAGTGCTGGGATTAAAGGCGTGCACCACCACTGTTTGAGATAGTGATCTAAACCCCATCTTTTGCTCTGAGCCTCTTGTTTCGCTAAATTAAAAAACCAAATCACACCACTTATTTGCAAGCTTTTCCTTCCTTCCTTCCTTCCTTCCTTCCTTCCTTCCTTCCTTCCTTCCTTCCTTTTTTCTTCCTTCCTTCTTTGCTTCCTTTCCTTCCTTCTTTCCTTTTCCTTCCTTCCTCCCTCTCCCTCTCTCTCTCTTTCCCTCCCTCTCGCATTCTCTCTCTTTTATTCCTTGTTTTTTTTTTTTTTTTTTGTTTGTTTGTTTTCCTTGCTCCCTTTTTCCTAAAGAACTTTCCTGGGCTAGGGAGATGGCCTAGCTGGTTAAGCACTTGTGCATAAACATGGTGGGTCTGAATGCAGTCACAGCTTTCTTGTCAAAAGGTGACATGGTGGCACACACTTGTAATCCCAGTTTGGAGAGCTGGAGACAGGAAGATCCTGGGGCTTGCTGGCCTGCCAGCTTTGCCTAGTTGGCAAGCCTCACATCCCAGGTCCCAGTGAGAAACCCAGCCAGAAGGTAAGGTGAATGATTCCTGAGGAATGATAGCGGAAGATGGCATCTGGGCTTCACATGCATGCTCACACCTCTGTGCATATATGGTAGTAACATGGTCACACAAAGTAACAGAGCTTCTCCGGTGTGTTCGATGTCATAATTTGTGTATTGTGTAATAATTAATAAGGGGAATCAAAGCATAAATCTTCTGTTTATGTTGGTCTTGGTATCTTGAGGATCCTGACTGTCACCTCACAGTGTTGTTTTGGGAAGGTGAGTGACTAATACTTGGAAAAATAATGTAAAAAAAAAATGTGCTTTGGCCAGGTAGTGGTGCATGCCTTTAATTTTTACTCTCAGGAGGCAGAGGGATAGGCAGAGGTAGAGGCAAGCAGATATCTGTAAGTTAGCTGTCAGCCTGGTCTATGTAGTAAGATGTGGGGAGGCCAAGGCTACATAGTGAGGCCCTGTCTCAAAAACAAAACAAGCCCACTTTGCTTTTTTTAATGTTGCTGTCAACATGGTAACATCTCTAGGTCAGCCATCTGCTGAGTTTCTTTTTCAAGGATCCACCTGCATCAGATCACATCAGATCATGCCTGACAGTCTGTAGCATAATAATAATAATAATAATAATAATAATAATAATAATAATAATAATGTAAAACATAATAAACATTTGTGTTGTTAAGAGAACAAAACTTTCATTTTCTGTCCCCAGTTGACTTGAAAGATGTGCTTTGAAACTTGAATGAGGTCTGTGTGAGGTATTAGCTTTTCAGTTTTGGTTTCAGGTTTCTTGAGTTTTCTTGGTAGCTGTAAACACTGCCAGCCTGAATACTTTTGTTACAAGCCCTCCTTGGGTTGGAATTAGTGCTGGATCCTCAGGAGAACTTTCCTCACATCTTGTGGATGGGATGCTTTTAAGGTGAGCAGGTCATTGACTCTCATCCCACTTTTAAGAAGTAGTCGTTTAAATATGTGCCCAGCTGAGAAGGGGTCTGGAAAAGCTCCAGTCATCTTCCAGTGCAGTAAGTGATGGGACCGTCATCAAATCCCAGTGTCCTGAGCAGATTGTTGCTTGGGTAATAACATCCTTTTCTGCAGTACCCCCTGCAGTGTTATTTGGGTATCAGATCTCCATAAATGGCCTCTCTGACTGTTAAGCAGCTGCCATTTCCCACCCCTGAGGTGGCTTTGTTTTCCGGGTGGGTGAATCAGTCCTTGCATGTAGTTTTGAAATGGTTAGAGAGCCTTTGGGATGAGTGTGTAAGTTAGCAACTTACAAATATGTGTCTTAAGGGAAAGAAGGTTTTATTTCTCTCAAAAGACCACTATCCCTACGGACTCATAGGACAGGACAAATTGAGTTTTCAGAGTATTCACTTCTTAGAAGAAGGAAAAACAGGAGAGGTAAATGAACATAAACATGAGCTAATTCAACATCAAGGAAAATGTAGGTAGAGTGGAACTGACATTTGTGTGTGTGTGTGCAGACGTGCACTTGACAGATACCCATGTGAGATGAGAGAGTCACTGGAAGTAGGGGCTGTCAGCAGGCAAGATGCCTTGGGTTTGGATGTTGGGAGCATCGCTGTGGAAATAGGGCTTGCAGAAGCATTTTGTTATCCCTTTCTTAATCAGCTAACAGCCTTTCTCAGCTTGGTGGCATTCACTTTCACTCTTTTCTCTTCCTGCAGTCGGTGAACCCTTATATCGTGAAGCTGTCCATTGTGGATGATGAAGCTACGCTGAATGTGAGTCTCTGGGTTCTTGAGTGTTGGTGCTGTCTCATTTGTGGTGGCCTTATTTTCAGTGGACTCTAAGCAGAGAGAAGCTGCTGAGTGGCGCACACCTTTAATCCCAGCACTGGGGAGTCAGAGGCAGGAGGATTTCTATGAGTCTAAGGCCAGCCTGATCTACAGAGTGAGTTCCAGGATAGCCAGAAACATTACACAGAAAAACCCTGTCTCAAAACAACAACAACAAAAACAAAAACAAGAGAGAGAAGCTGGGGTAGTGGTGCTTGTAATGGAAACTGGTCAGAAAGTGCGGCCTGTCTCAGAAGAAAAAGGTCTGGGGATAGAACTTACAAATTTTGGGTTCAATTTCCAGTGTATAATAAACAGATAAAAAATGAATCCGAAGCTTATTGGTGGTAGTGCACACCTTTAATCCCAGCACTGGGAAGTCAGAGACAGGTGGATCTCTGTGAGTTTGAGGTCAGTTTGGTCTACAGAGTTCCAGGACAGCCAGGGCTACACAGAGAAACCTTCTCTCCAGAGAAAGAAAGAAACAAACAACCGCCCTGCCCCCCCCCCCAAAAAAAAATCCCAGAAAGCAGAGTACTTTATCATGAGTTTGGTTTTTGTTTTTCGAGTCCCACTGTGTAGTCCAAGCTGGCCTTAAATTCCTAGTCCTCCTGTTCCAGCCTCTTCAGTGCTGGGATTACCAGTGTATGGCCTCCTGTGGCACCGTATGTGTTGCCTGGTGTCTGAAAAGGCCGGAGGGCGGCATCAGATTTCCTGGAACTGGAGTTAGAGTGGTTTGAGCCTCCTGGTGGGTGCTGGGAACTGAACCCGCGCAGTGAGTGCTCCTTATCCCCCTGCCACCTCTCCAGCCCTGAGCTTCCTGTGTGCAGAAAAGGCTTGTACTACTCACAGCCTGACTGGGAAGCTGAAACATTAAGGGTTTATGCTATATGTGTCCTGAAAATTTTGCAAAGGGACTTCTGCTTTCTGACTGTAGGGAGAAAAGGATGGCCAGTATTTGACTTTCTCTCCTTATCCTCTAATTTTGTTGTTGTTGTTGTTTTGTTTTTTGAGATAGGGTTTCTCTGTGTAATAGTCCTAGCTGTTTTATAATTCGCTTTGTAGACCCGGCTGGCCTTGGATTCATAGAGATTCAACTGCCTCTGCCTCCTGAGTGCTGGGAGGCCTGTGCCATCCCTCCCCCAACCCCAGCAGAATTTCTGTTCTTGAAGGCAGCTTTCTGGTGGAGCTTCCTGGGTATAGACTTTAGGGTTTATGTTCTCCCTGGCTGGGCTGTAGCTGAGCTGTAGCAATGCCACCAGCACCTAGGGCTCCTTGCTTGTTTCAGCTGTGCTGTGTTTTCTCTTCCAGGGAATGGGGCTTGTGATCACTCAGGCTTTGTCTGAGTACAATAGGTGAGTCTACTTCTCCGCAGGGGAAAAGGCTATTTCTCTTGAACTGGGCGAGTAGGGAGGAGGTTCATTAGAATTCATAGATAAAAATTCCTAGCCTATCCCAAAGCATAGTTAGAGATCTGGCTAAAGGTCTGGCGCGTGCAGATGCACCTGCTCAGCCTGCTGGTATCCGTGGGGCTTTGTTTCCTCTCTGGGAAAAGCGGCCCTCAAGTTAATGCCCACCTTTAGTTTAAACAATTAGGCACATTCTCTTTCAGTCTTGGTGTTTGTTACAGAGCATTTCATTAGCTCTTTAGCTACAGAGCAGCCTTTCCTTTTTGTCCAGTGAGCCTCATAAATACCATTTTCTATGTAAGAAAGCTCGTGAAAACCACTTTAAAACTCATTTTGTTGTTGTCTGTTTGTTTTTGAGACAGGGTTTCTTTGTTTAGCCCTGGCTGTCCTGAAAATTGCTCTGAAGACCAGACCAGGGTAACCGCAAACCTTGAGATCCACCTGTCTTTTTTTCTGAGTGTTGGGATTAAAGGTGTGCACCACCAAGCCTGGCTAAAATTCTTTAAAAGAATAGAAAAGAAAAAGCATATTGAGTTAGGTCTTATTTAACAGATTTGCAATGTTTCTTTCTTCCCCTGGGGATTGAACCCAGGGCCTTATGCAAGCTAAGAACAACCTCTGTTACTGAGTTACACTCATGAACCAACTGTTTCTTTTTCATTAGTGGTTTAACTTCCTAAAGTCCTTGTTTAGTCTCTTAAATTGATTCTTGCTTTTCTTCATCCCATGGATGGGGAAGGATTTGGCATTCCATGAATGGAAACCAGGAATCTGTAATCCCACTAAGGGCCAGCCCGTATGTCCCTTCTCCACAAATGTTTTAGCTCTTCAACTTTCTTTCTCCTTCAAACAAACAAGGTTTTCACTGTCACAGCCTGAAAGAATTTTCACTGCCACACTTTTCAAGCAATCATCTGTTTGGGAAATAACTAGATCAGCCATATGCTAGAGGAATTTCACACTTTGCAGCTTGCTTTCTAAGTCTCTCCCAAAGTAGCCAGGCATTTTGGTACACACTCCCTCCAGAGCAGATGGGTGCTCTCAGCTTGCGGGGGACTGCCGTGGCTAGAGCGTCATCCTGCTTTAGTTCTGGAGTCAGACGTTCTGAGAGTACGCTGCCCTGATTACCTAGAATGTCAGGGTTGAATATATACTTGGTAAAAAAAAATTCCTGAAGTTTAATTTGGCTATTTTTTTTTTAGGCAGTATAAAGACAAGGAAGAAGAACACCAGAGTGGTTTTTTCTCTGCTTTAACAAATATGGTAAGTTCTACTTGTGCTTTTTCTCTTCCTGTTGAGAAGTACAGGAAGCCTTCAGGGGTAGGCATATTTAGGCTCAGTTTGGATATGTTTGAAATAATGGTAGCTGGGACTGCAAGGCCAATTTTTTTGTTACATAGAGAGGCTCTGTCTCAAAGTAGAAACAACAACAAAAGAATTGACCTTGTAGTCCTAGCTACTTGGTAAGATGAGGAGAATTACTTGAACCTACATATGCAAGACCAACTTGGGCAACATAGTCAAGAATCCATTTCAAGAATGAGTTGGCTCTGATTGGAGGCTGACTGTAGAACACAGGCTAGAAGGGAGTCCTCCCCAGTGGCCTTTTGTAGTCTTCTGTAGCCACATGATCCCTAGTGACTGGATCAGGTTTGTCACTCCCATGCTTAGTTTACGTGGTGCTGAGGATTGAAGCTGAGCTTGGAAATGCTAGGCAAGCACTGAAACCACAGGCTGGCACTGAAGGCATTCACTACCACCTCCTGGCTATAAGAGAAATCTTAAAAGAAGATAAAGAAAGTTAAAAAGTGTAAAAAGGAAAAAGAGAAAGGGAGATATACAAGTCTAGTGGATCCTAAAATGTAGGCAAAATTGGAACCCATCTTTGTGGGGGGGCATTAGTGTTCAAGCGCCCTAGAGCTGAGACAGCTTCTTGCACAGAACAACTGTTTCTCTCACCCCAGGCAGTTTTTCTCCTGGTGCCTGTGCATTCTTACCCTTTTTCTTCTTAGAGCCTGATTTTAAAAGAATCTTATAACTCTGAGACATAAGTCACTGAAGTGTTTCAGAGGCTATGAAACATGAATTTTATATTGATATTTGATTATGTGAATTAGATATATAGTTCTCAGACATCTTCAAAATTTTTTTAAGGTGGAGTATTTTGAAACCCAGGTTGGCATTGAACTTGTTATGTAGCTGAGGATGATTTTGAACTCCTGATCCTTCTTCTACTTCTCAAGCACTTAATTTGCAGGTGTGCACCACCACATCTGACTTCTGGAATCACATGTATTAAAGGCAACTTGTGCCAGGTGTTTATTTGCCATCCTTGACAGTATGTAAGCTCAAACCCTGTGATCTGAAAGGAGAACAGGTTTTACATCAACAGTTCTAGCTGGTTGATAGCAGTCCTCTCTCTCTGAAGTTTAAAAAATTATTTTTCTTTTATTCCTTTTGAGACAAGTTTTTGACACTATAGCTCAGGTCGGCCCCTACATAGTCTATGTAGCCCAGACTAACCTTGAACTTGTGATTTTGGGATTGTAGTTGTAGGTATCAGGATAAGCTTGAAGTTCTCTGTGGGTCAGTTCTGATTGCACATATGCAGTTTCCAGGAAACATGCCGTGGTTAGAATATTTAGGCTGACATCTACCTTGTCATTGTTACTAAACTTACACATTGAAAGCCTAGATGATGCAATAGGAGTCTCATTATTTCATTTATTATTGGTAAGTCTTTTACAGTTTTCAAAGTGGACTGGTTTTTGTGTGTCACTGGTGGTCCTGAGTTCCTTGTTTGCTACTAGAAGCAATGGTTTTTCACTGGTTAAGCCCAGAGCCTCTCTCTTGGCCTCCTGTGTACAATCTGTGCTTCCTCCTTCCGTCCACAGGTGGGCAGCATGTTCATAGCAGATGCCCCTGAGAAGATCTCCGTACAGTAAGTACTTGGGCGTTATGTGTGCTCTCTTGCTGACTCGAGAGCACAGAGCAGAAAGTGTCACCTCCTCGCAACCTTTTATAGATTACAACCTTTTAAAATGTTTCATGGGTTCTTGGAGATCTCTACTTTAGAGGCGTTGATAGAGCGTCTGCTTAATGTCCTTAAATAAACTGGGTGTGATTGGCATATGCCTGTTATCCCAGCACTCCTGAGGTGCAGATGGGAGGATCAGATGTTTACCCTAACCCTCTGCTACATAGTGAGCTGAGGCCAATCTGCGCAACATGAGACCCTGCCTTAAAGAAAAAATAAATAAAGTTTTTGAGACATGATCTTGCCTTGCGTAGTCCTGGCTGCCCTGGAACTCTCTGTGCAGATCCTGGCTGGCCTTGAGTTTGTGGTAATCCTGTTACCTCTGCCTACAGAGCATTAGGTCATTAGGTCACCATTACTAGCTCTGTCTCCCAAGTGCATTGACTGAAATGCCTAAGGGCTGGGTGTCAACCCTCAGGTTTAGCTGGGTAGGGGCTGGAAGAATTGGCCTTTAACCTGTGCTCTTTTGCACGTGTCCAAAGGTAAATAGAGGGATTGACAGTGAGGAGCTCTTGATGGTTGTGTTTTACATTCTTTACTCTTTAAGAAGGAATCTGATTTGTTCTCTTTTTCCTTAGAACCAATGAGGCCATTCTTCTGGCACTTTATGAAGCTGTCCATTTAAATCGAAACTTCATCACAGTATTAGCTCAGGTTGGTTATCTTTTTCTTTTTTTGAGATATATTTTATTTGTTATGTATATACAGTGCTGTGTCTGAATGTTTGCCTGTAGCCAGAAGAGGGTATCAGATCTCATTACAGATGGTTGTGAGTCACCATGTGATTGCTGGGAATTGAACTCAGGACTTCTGGAAGTCAATGCTCCTAACCTCTGAGCCATCTCTCCAGTTCCTTCGGGTTGGTTCTCTTAAAAGTCCAAATACTGGCTGGGTGTGGTGGCCTGTACCTTAATACTAGCACTGGGGAGAGAAGCAGGTGTGTCTCTATGAGTTCAAGTATAGCCTGGGCTGTACATCCAGTTCCAGGCCAGCCAAGGCTGCAAAGTGAGACACTCCCCAGCTCCCCAATCCTTTTCTCTCTCAAATTTCATTTTATTTATCTTTTGTTTTTATGATATTGTAGGATTAAATCCAGGACCTTGTACATATTAGGCCACCTGTCTCTGCTTCCTGAATTCTGGGATTAAAAGTTTATGCTACCATGCCTTTGTGTATGTTTCTTTTAAAAAAATCTACTAGTAGAATTTTAAGTAAAAAGTAAGGCCATGTTTTGAAAACAATATGCTGTTTTGGGGTATGTTTTGAACTCTTACTAGTTTTCATAAGATAATTAGAAAGTTTGCTATTTTCACCAAGTTTCTTGTCTGTCTATCAAATTCCATAACTGACTCAAGAAGAGGTGGGGAAGGTAAAGGACTGGCAAAGCTGTTGAAAACAGAAAGGGCTGGGGCAGGAGTGATGGCTCATCAGTTGAAAGCACTGGCTGCTGTTGCAAAAGACCCAGGTTCAATTCCCAGCACCTGCATGGCAGCTCACAACTGTCTTTTAACTCCAAGATCTGGCACACTCACACAGACATACTTGCAGGCAAACACCAATGCACATAAAATAGTAATTAATAAAAAAGAAAAGAAAGGAGAGTGGATTCTAAAAAGAGCGACTCTTGAGCTTCCTTCTCCCAGTAGACGTGGCAGTAGCTGAGGAAAACCAAGGACACGGGGGTCACCTACATTGTCCATGCTAGATTTTTGCCTCTGCCTTTGCACTGTACATATTCTTGCATGGTTTTTCCTTACACTTTGTGTGTGTGTGTGTGTGTGTGTGTGTGTGTGTGTGTGTGTGTGTTGGGGGTGTTAGTGTAGAGTTCAGAGAATAACTGGATAACTTTTGGAAGTTGGTTGTAGGGGGGATGGGAGAGGCAGGGAGGGGAGCAGAGAAAAATGTAGAGCTCAATAAAAATCAATAAAAAATCAGGATGAAAAAAATCCTGAAACTTCATATTCTTAAAAAAAAAAGGAAGTTGGTTCTATCCTTCTACCATATGGATCCTAGGTACCAAATTCAGGTCATCAACTTGGCAATAAGTACCTTACCCTCTGAGCTATCTTGCTAGTCTACATGCTCTTTTATTTTATTTATTTATTTTTCTTTTATGGTAAGGCTGTTATTAGCCTAGCTCCTTTTATGGTTCCTAGTATCCCCTTAGTTTACCTATATCTGTTTGTCAGTTCTGTAGTCATGAAAATAGTTCATACATCTGAATAATTTATTGGTTTTTTAAATATGAGGCTTTACAGAAAAATTTGTGTAATGGAACCCAAATTTCATAATGAAAATTAATCCACAGCATTTCTTCCTAGAGCTTAGCAGGCATCCATAGGTTTTAAGCATTCAGGGCACCAAATGCAGGTCCTCAGTGAGCTTGGTAGTCTCATTTTGATCCTGGAAAGCCAGGGAGCATGCTTAGTGGAGGATACTTAAAGGGAACTATATTTTCTGTTTTCTTACCCATCTGTTCCTCTTTCAGAGCCACCCAGAAATGGGGTTGGTGACAACCCCTGTCAGTCCTACTCCAACAGCCCCAGTCACACCACTTGGGACCACTCCACCCTCCTCTGATGGTGAGGCCACCACTTTTATTGTGTTTTTGGTTAAATATGAGTTTAGATCTTTCTTTTTCTTGTTTTTTTTTCCCTCCCTCCCTCCCTCCCTCCCTTCTTTCCTCTTTAGTTTTTAGAGACAAGGTTTCTTTGTGTAGCCCTGACTGCCCTGGAACTCCCACTGTAGACCAGGCTGGCCTTAAACACAGAAATCTGTCTGCCTCCTGAGTGGTGGGATTAAAGGCATGTACCACCCATTGCCTGGCTGATTCTAGATCTTTCAGTGCTAAGCACAGCTGTATTGAGCAAAGAATACATTTGTTAATTCTTTTAATTTGTTTGAGTGGGTAATTAATGTTGGTACACATCTGTAATCCCAGCTACTTGGAGGCTGAGGTAGAAAGATTACAAATTCAAGGCCTGCTTGGTCTGCCTAATGAGTTAAAGGCCAACCTGGTCAATTTATTGTGGCCCTGTCTCAAGTTTTAAAATGAGATGAGGATATGACTTGCCCAGCATGCATGAGCCCTGCGTGATGGGGGAGAGTCTTCTCTTTTGTGTTGATTTCATTGGCCCTTTAATAGGACAGAAAATTAGGTAGGCAGAGTAGACAGAACAAAATGCTGGGAGAAAGAAGCTGAGTCAGTCAGTCGCCATGATTCTCCGACCCCAGCCGGACAGGGTTTCTTTGTGTAGCCCTGTCAGTCCTGGAACTCACTCTGTAGACCAGGCTGGCCTTGAACTCACAGAGATCCTCCTGCCTCTGGCTCCCTAGTGCTGGGATTAAAGGTGTGCACCACCACATTTTTATGTGGCCCTGAGCATTCGAATTTTAATGCAGTATAAGCAGCAGAGAAGTATGGCAAGGAACTGTCATTGATCTTCAGATCTATGACAGCAAATTGGGGCTTTTTAGAATTGAAAGCCAAATTCCAAAATATCTTAATGAGAAGAAGCATAGTGAGGATTGCCTACTTGTCTGTTTATTCAGGTCACTGCTAAGCCAATGGAAACACTGTACTTTCTCTTAAGGATGGAGCTTGCCTAGTTACCATGGATATCCAAAGCCATAAATGTATGTTTGTGAGTGTGTGTGTTCTCAGTTCCATGTGATGTTGGGGCTTGGATGCTTCAGAGAACTGCCTTTCAGCTGTTGATTGTGAACATTTCACCCACACCCTTGATTATGCAATGGCAGGATTTGTGCTTACCTACAACCGCTGAGCTTTTAGCCTGCTCCATGGGAACAAGTCAGCCCACTTTCAGATGACTGTCTCTCTTGACAAAAGCTCCCGAGAAACATTATAAAGGCAGCGTTAAGGAGCGATGCTTGCTTACGAGGGAGATTTTACACTGTGAGGGATTTGATTCTGCCTTTTTATTTTTTTCTTCTAACTCATTTCCTTACTGTAGGGGTCCTAAGTATTGTAGCCTTATTTTCAATTTTTGTTTTTTAATTACAGTGCTGCTCTGTAGCCCAGTTATATTTAAGGTATGTCACTGGTGCTATTATTTTTAAAAGCCAGCAGTTAGCTGTAACATTTGTTCGCAGCTCAGACTTGACATTTGACAACTCCGCCTTGGCATGAGAGGACTTTCTGGTAAACTAAAAATATATATAGTTCTATATTTCTACATATTATGTAAGATAGTTTTCTAGTTATCACTGTGCGTGAGTGGGCTAAAACTTCCACTTACCAGTTAGATAACAAAGGAGTGATTATGGGTTCTGAGTTCAGAATGGCTGTGGCTTGAAATGACAGCCTATGAGACCGTTTAGGTTTGTTGTTTTTGAGACAGGGTCTTATCTATAGCCCAGTCTGACCAGGGCATCTGTTAGTGTTTCAATATAAAAATAAACTTATCTTTTTTATTTGTTCTTGGGGGCCAAATTATGGGAAAACAGCCAAGATTTGGGCATGCTAATTTCTTCTCATAAGGCTTTTTGCTATGTATTGTGGAACCATAATGTACAGTGTTTCCCATTGTTAATAAATGTCCTTTGCATGCATTGTAATAACTCCAGAGGGATCCATTATAGTCATGAATATATATTATGACTAATGTCCCAAACTTAGAAGTGTGTTCATAGTTTAAAATACAGCCAAATGCTATAGATTTTCAAATGTCACTGGGCCATCATGAGGCTCTTTTTGTGTATGTGTTATGTTTTAGACACTGTTAAAGCACTAAGTGGTTGACTAATTCTATTATTTTATTTTTTTTTATTTATTTTTTTGAGACAGGGTTTCTCTGTAGCTTTGGAGCCTGTCCTGGAACTAACTCTTTTAGATCAGGCTGGCCTCGAACTCACAGAGATCCGCCTGCCTCTGCCTCCCAAGTGCCACCACCGCCCAGCTGACTGACTCTAATTTAACATCTTTAAATCCAAGTGAAAGCTGTTGTGCTTGGGTTGATTCTGATCCCCACTGTGCACTGGGGCCAGGACAGTGGACCGAAGGATCTTCTAGAAGCAGAGACTAGACATCAGTGATGTGCCCTGTTTTCTCTCTGCTGTTGCATTTCAGGTTCCTTTTCACGGGGAAGGACTAAGGGGTAGAATTCGCACATAGTTCTGCCTCAACTTTCGCTCCTTTCATCTTGGGTACTTTTAGTGTAAGGGCTTGTTCTCATACTGAGCAAATTTCTCCTTATTAGGAAGAATTCTTCCTTTATTTTAAGTAAGAGACTCGTCAAAGCAGGCTCATTTATATTCAGTATAACTTTTTCCTTGAGTTAGAAATGACAGTGCCTCTAAGAAGGACCTTGAACTTGATTACTTGTGGCTGGAATAGAATTACATCCTTTTCTAGTGTATTAGAAGAAAAACTCTTTCTGGATTGACCCTAGATGAAAAAGAAGGTTGGCAGGTTTTGGGGAGCATGGGGCACAGGAGTTCAAGAGGCCTAGTGAGAGTAGATAGAAGTTTTATGGAAAGTACTTGGTCCTCCTTCTGTCGTGGGAAAAGCTTATTTAGTCATTTTTTTGCCTGCTGGCAAATTGGCTATGTGGGTAGAGTGTTAGGTGGAATATGTTATGGGCTAAGTGTTTTATTTGTTCTATTCCAGTTATAAGTTCTGTGGAACTCTCACTGGATGCAGATGTACAGACCAGTAACCTACTGATAACCTTCTTAAAGTATAGCTCGATTGTCATGCAGGACACTAAAGGTAAGACATGTTGTCTTGGAGGCATGCCTAACGTCAAAGAGTAGTGGCTGAATTTTGAGGCTTTCTTCTGTGTCCTATTGGGGCCTCCTGGGCAGGTGATGGACCTGGGCTCTGGAAAACAGTGATTTCTCACTGCCGGGTGACAGTTAGATGGTGTTGGGAAAACCTGAAGTTGGAGGAGAGGGCTTCAATATAGAAAAGGAAAAAAAGTTGATCCCTACAAGAATTAGCAGGTGTGCTTAGGAGGTCTTGGTGTGGATGCACACTCTTCTGTGGGAGTTCTTTGAGGTTAGCACCCCTCAGGGGATTCCCTTCTGAGGATGCACACTGGGAGCATCGACTTGTGGTGAGAGTCAGGGGTCTCGGGGGGCTGTGCTGCTTATCGCTTAAAGTAGACAAGCCGCTGACCCCAGACAGTGCACAGAGGGAGAGAACTGAGCTGGGGCCTTTGAGCTCCTGGACCACAGAGTAACACCGGCACGCCCACGGGTCTGGAGCAGTGCTTTTCCTTTCCGATTTCATTTTGCTGCAACTCTCTTTCTCTTTTTGGTTCTGATTTTTGTCTTTTGTTGTGGTTTTGAGACAAATTGAGATCTATCTGTCTGTCTGTCTTTCTATCTATCTATGTTCAGTGGTGACCACCTGCATCCCACTGACATTCTGTTCTGTCTCGTCTGCCTTAAGTTCCTTTTTGTGTCCTCGTTGTTTTGGCTGTGACACTTTAAAGAACACTGCAGGTATCGCTAGTTCACAAAGTTCACTTTGCCTGCACCTCCAGAAATCAAAAACACTTTCCCAGGTAGCTAAAATGTCATTATTATATCTACAAAACCCCAAAACGGCTCTCTAAGAGTGTGTGAGATTTAGTTCCTATTGAAGTTTCTTCAGTTACCCTCAAATCTCTTCCTTCTTTTTACAGAACGGACAGCATCATACATTTAGACAATGAACTTTAGTAGCTTTTTAAGTAGATTTAAATTTTCTTCATTTTTTTTTTTTAAATTCTGACACAGGGACTCACTGTTTAGCCCTGTGTGGCCTGGCACTCACTGTGTAGACCTGCCTGGCCTTGAACTCTCAATTCACTGTCTCAGCCTTTGTACTTGTGGGATTAAAGCATGTACCACCATGCCCAGTCCTGATCTTTGATCTTTTTTCTCCCACTGAAAGCCTCTTCCCAACAAGTTCCCATCCCAATTTCTTGTTTTGATGATTGATTTATTTATAGATAGGAGTGTTTTGTCTTTAGGTATGCATGCCAGAAAAGGGCATCATATCCCATGGGGCTACAGTTAGAGAGAAGTTTGTGAGCCACCCTATTGCTGCTAGGAATTGAACTCAGGACCCCTGGAAGAGTAGCCAGTGCTCTTAACTGCTAAGCCATCTCTCCCCACCCCAATATACCTTTTACCCCAATACTACTTTCTTTCTTTTTTTAATTTGGGTTTTGACATTTTATTTTTATTGATGCTAAGTGACCTTAAGATATGGTTTATAAGTTTTTGGCCTTTTTGAAAGAACTGGCTAGCCCTGAAAATAGAGATTTTTTTTTCCTTTTGGTTTTCAAGACAGGATTTCTCTGTAGCTTTGGAGCCTGTCCTGGAATTAACTCTTGTAGACCAGACTGACCTCCAACTCACAGAGATCCCTGCCTCTGCCTCCTGAGTGCTGGGATTAAAGGCGTGCGCCACCACCACCCGTCCCAGTACTACTTTCTTTTTTTTTTTTTTAAATATTTATTTATTTATTTATTTATTTATTTATTTATTATGTATACAATATTCTGTCTGTGTCTATGTCTGCAGGCCAGAAGAGGGCACCAAACCCCATTACAGATGGTTGTGAGCCACCATGTGGTTGCTGGAAATTGAACTCAGGACCTTTGGAAGAGCAGGCAATGTTCTTAACCTCTGAGCCATCTTTCCAGCCCCCAGTACTACTTTCATGACTCCTTTTTGTGTGTGGCCTACTGAGTTTAAATACTGTTTGGTTTTATGTTCACGTGTATGTGTGCCTGAGCGCATGCTTATGAACCACATGTGTAGTGTAGCAGCCTGTGGAGGTTGGGAGGTATTGGGTCTCCTGGAGCTGGAGTTATGAAGAACACTTTTGAGCTGTCTGTCAGTGCTGGGAACTGAACCAAGGTCATGTCTTCTGAAAGAACAATGATTGTTGAGACCATCTGTAGCACCTCCTGAGTTTAATTACAAGTTTCTTGCTCAGTGTGGGTGGGAGGCTATTTTCTGGAGCAAGAGTAACTTATCCATAGCTACACTACTAAAGAAAATGACATTCCTCCCCAAGTAGCTGTTAATCGCCAGTAGTCTCAGAAGGGAGGATGGGTCCTCAGGTGAATTTTTATTTTTTTTGTTTTTGTTTTTTTGAGACAGGGTTTCTCTGTGGTTTTGGAGCCTGTCCTGGAACTAGCTCTTGTAGACCAGGCTGGTCTCGAACTCACAGAGATCCGCCTGCCTCTGCCTCCCAAGTGCTGGGATTAAAGGCGTAAGCCACCACCCGCCCGGCCTCAGGTGAAATGTTGATACCCAATATTGGGTAGGTCTTGTATATGTAACCCCACATACAGTGATTTCATGGGTGTAATTGCTGTGTCATATCCAGAAGCCACTTTTTTTGCCGCGTGACTATCTTCTGGCTCTTACATTCTTTTTGTTCCCTCTTCTCTGACGTTTCCTAGGCCTTGGAGCAGGTGATAAAGCCGTCCCATTTAAGGTCAAGTATTCTACCATTACTTAGTTTTGATGCTTTGACAGTTACTGGTTTCTGCATAAGCCATGGTGTTTTAGTTAGGGTTTCTATTTCTGTGAAGAAACAACATGACCACGGCAGCTCTTATAAAGAAAAACATTTTTTTTTTTTCAAAGACAGGGTTTCTCCCTGGCTATCCTGGAACTTACTTTGTAGACCAGGCTGGCCTCAAACTCACAGAGACCTGCCTGCCTCTGCCTCCCAAGTGTTGGGATTAAAGGTGTACACCACCACTACCCAGCCAAAGGAAAACATTTCTTTGGGGCTGGCTTACAGTTCAGAGGTTTAATCTATTGTCATGGTGGAAAGCATGGAGGCATGCAGGCAGACATGGTGCTGGGGAAGTACCTGAGAGTTCTACATCTGGATCTGCAGGCAACAGGAAGAAAGAGGGAGACACTGGGATTGGCCTGACCATCTAAAATCTCAAAGCCCACCCCAGTAACACACTTCCTCCAATAAGACCACACCCACTCTAACACCTCTTAATAGTGCCACTCCGTGTGGGCCAATGGGAGCCATTTTCATTCAGACTACTACCACAGCCTGTTGCTTTAAAAAGCTTCTCTCTCCTTTCTCTTCCTCTCTCTTCCCTGCTTTCTCTCTCTTGGTTTCTTTCTTTGTCTCTGGTATCCTAGGTTGGTCTTCTATTTGTTCTGTTGTAGAGGCTAGCCTTGAACTCTTTTTTTTTAAAATATTTATTTCTTTAGTATACAATATTCTTTCTGCGTGTATGCCTGAAGGCCAGAAGAGGGCACCAGACCTCATTACAGATGGTTGTGAGCCACCATGTGGTTGCTGGGAATTGAACTCAGGACCTTTGGAAGAGCAGGCAATGCTCTTAACCACTGAGCCATCTCTCCAGCCCCCTAGCCTTGAATTCTTGATCCTCCTGTCTGTTTACAAGTATTGGAATTACATATGTGTACTACCATGCCCACTTGAGTTATTAACTTATAGTCTATGAATAACTTCATATTTCCATATATTGTAAGTCAATTTTATTGTAGGACCAAAAATTGTTAAAAATGGATTGTTTTTGCTGCCTTACTTTATGTGAGGAGAGTGTCCTAAGAGCCTCTGAGGTGGGCTTAGGCTCCTTTTGGCATGATTTTTACTTCAGAAGGCTTTTGTTTGCCAAGTGAGCAGGTTTCTGTTGTGAGGGTTTTCAAGAGCTCTGGAAAGGAAGGAATGAAGGCTCAGGAGCTCTGGAGTGAGGAGGAAACACTGAAAGACAGAGATTGGAAAGCTGAAAGAGCAATATGGGAAACTAAGACTTGCCAGAGCCGAAAGGAGCCTGGGTGTATGAGTCTAAGTGTGCTGTGTTCATACACTGTGTGAGCTATTATTGGAGAGCTCCGCCTTGGAAACTTAGGCATTTCCTCTTGTATCACGTGTTACTCTTTGAAGAGTAAGTGCTACTACATAGGGTTAACTCCATGCAGCTATTACAGGTCACCATCTTCTAACATAGAACATAGGGTTAACTCCATGCAAGTATTCCAGGTCACCAACTCCTAACAGAACAGTCCATTGGGAACTGCTGAGGTGACTGGTTCTCTGAGACTTGGCAAGAGAGATCTGGCAGGCAAGGATAACAAGACTCTAGTGTATCTGAGTTTCCTGAGGCTATTGCTTCTGTATGGAAATGGGTAGCCTGTTCCTTTCTCTACAAATATTGCAACAACTACAGCAGAAAGAAATTGTATGGATGTGACCCAGAAAAATGAACTTTTAAGCTTTGCTTGATATAACACAGTGAATTGAGGCTCTTGGAATGCATTTTTAGCTCTAACAGTTATGTAAACCTCTGTCCTGGTCACTTCAGGTTCATAAATACAAGTCCAAATTATAGACTAAGTAATAGCCAGTACGTATGGTCACAGTGTCTGTAGACTGCAATATATTTTTGCCAGTGGGAGGTCTAAATATGGCAAGGGCAAGGTTAGGTATGCAGAATAGTTTATTTAAAAAAAATGACTGTTCCATGGCTTCATTTGCCCATCTCTTCCCCTGTCTTAACCTAAGACTTGCTGTGCTACGCCCTGGCTACAGGATCTCATGATCATTGTGTGTGTGTGTGTGTGTGTGTGTGTGTGTATTTTGTGTTCTGGGAATGGAACCTAGAGCCTTATCCATGGTG